CATCACCGGAAGTGTGTCAGAAGGCCCGGCTACTTACCCTCCTGCTTCATCCTCATTCCCAAACGGAATGAGGATCGAAGCAGAGGGCGGGGTAAAGAAGGGGGCGGGGCTTCACCACGTGACCGCCCCGCCCCCTAGAGGTTCTCTTCCGGAGCTCCGTACCTGAGAGCTCCCCCCCGACTAGAGCCCTGGGTTGGATGGAACTTTTATTTGTATTCCATTTAGAAGAAGTTTGTAATGCATACAGTTCAAAGTTGCCCCCCCCCCAACTATGTGCAATGGCTTCATGATTCCACTATAAACCATTCATTCTAGTTTGGCTTATCACCCAGGATTCAGCTTGGAAGAGGTTAAACTGCTGAATGGAGAAGGCTAGGAGCAGCCTGACAGATTAGTCTATAACTTAGTGTTCATTTGCTGCTGCAAATAGGCTAAACAAGCTTCTTCGCTTGCCAGCTGCTGAGATAAAACTCTGTTTCATTCATTTACCATATTCACATTCACACAGGGTAATATCAAATAATTAATCCATGGGCGGCTTTTGTGGTATATACAAATCTCGTTGCTTCAAGCACAAGAAACTTGCATGGTTGCTTAACAAATTGTCTGCTGAAGATTTGTTCAAAACACTCATTTTTCATTTTGACTTTTTTTTTCTTTGAGGGATAAAAGGCTTTTTGTGTGCTTTAATATGTTGCATTTTCAGACAAGTGACAGAGTATTAGGAAAGGCTGGGGGAAGCGACCGTGCTACTTTTGAATACAAATGCAATTGTGAAAATTAGTTCCTTTTTTTAGTGCTTTCCCTAAAGGGAAAAAGAAACAAACACAAATGCAGAATTTTATTTGCTAGTGGGTTGAATTGAGGGTGTGTGTTTTTTCTTTTTGAGTACACTGATATTTCAGAATCCATGTTTATGATAACTCCCCTTAGTCTGACCTCTCTTAAAATGACCAAAAAAGGCACTTTCACTAAATAATGCATTTTCAATGCACTTCGCAATTTGATTTTACTGTGTGAAATGGCAAAATCCACTTGCAAACAGTTGCTGAAGTGAATTGAAACTGCATTATTTAGCATGTGTGAAAGCACCCCTTGTGACTCCCATGTTGTTTAGGACAGAGACATAAGATGTATAGAAAGATGTCATCTAACTCTGACTGGCAGCTTTTCATCACACACTTAATCTCTCCATTCTAGATCTGTGTGCAACTTTGTTTAATATATGTATGATAGAAATGGAGATTAGGAAGCCAAATCCTATAAATCTGTTTCAGGTGCAACAATTGATCACAGTCCATGATGGCAAACAAGGAATACATGTTTCTGTAGCATTCAGGGGAAATCGCCTGCTCTAGCAACAGATTTTACTCTGGAGTAATTGGCATTGCAGTGGAATGGAACTTTTTAAAACTGAGCTCCCCATTGCCCCAGCTTGATTCCACCCTGTGTGGTATAGTGGTTAGAGTGCTGTACTAGAATCTGGGAGACCCAGATTTGAATCTCCGCTCTGTCATGGAAACTTTCTGGTAAACTTGGGCCAGTCACTCTCTGTCTCACAGCTTTACATACAGAGTTCATAGAATCATAGAGTTCGAAGGGACCTCCAGGGTCATCTAGTCCAACCCCCTGCACAAGGCAGGAAATTCACAAATACCTCACCCACACACACCCAGTGACCACTGTTCCATGCCCAGAAGATGACAAAAAATCTCCAGGATCTCCACCCAAAATGGTCTGGGGGAAAATTGCATCTTGACCCCAAAGTGGTGATCAGCATTTTCATGGGTGTGTAAGAAGGGTTGTTGTGAGGATAAAATGGAGGGGAAGAAGATAGTGTAAGCCCTTTGGATCCCCATTGGGGAGGAATGTAGAGTATAAATACCTAAATAACAGAAGAAATGTGTGGACCTTTCCTGTCTAATTAGCACAATCTTTTTAGTTAGAATGTTCACTAATAATCTCCAGAAATATGAGAAACTGCCATACTGAAAATGATAACGGATTAACCTTTAATAATCTTTAATGTGCCAGTGGACTCCTGTTTCAATTATTTGTCTATGCTGAATTGGCTTCCATGCTGCTGAGAAAAGGGGGGGCGCAGGAGAAGGAAGTCAGCGTGTTTTACACATATTAAATTACAGTCATTGATCAGTAAAATGTAATTAGAATTCTATAGCTCTCGGAAATGGGTGAGTGATTGTGAAATCTGATTGGCCTATAACTTCCTTTTCATGAACAAGTTACACAGCTAGGTGCCATTTTCTGCATAACACAGCAGTTTTCTGTGTATATTTTTTATGTTGGTTTTTCAATACATGCTGCCTTTTTCTCCATGGTAATGTAAGTACATGTGTTAGTAGCTATTTTTCTTCTTCTTAATGTTAATTGCATGTAAACAAAATGGCTGCATCCATCTCGGACTACATTCGTACATCACTGATTATACTACGGCACTAAGAAATTGGAAACTGGGATTCAAGAACCAGCAAGAGCATGAGAAGTACAAATGGACTGGTACTCTAGCAATGGAATGGGTAAGAACACATACAGCAGAGGATAAGATCAGCTCCATTGTGTTGGCAACATATCAAGATAAGAGCTCATTTCCATCAGCATGCAGCATAGCCATGTCTATTGTCTGGTATGTTGACTTTACAGCGATGCACTCAGGCACCTACAAGCAAATAACTGCCTTGCACTGTGAACCTCAGGTGTCAACTTAGATCTCTTTAATCCATAGATCCTGAACATAAGAACATAAAAGAAGCCAATGTTGGATCAGGCCAAAGACCAATCCAGTTCAACACTCTGTCACACAGTGGCCAAAAATACCAGGTGCCATCAGGAGGTCCAGCAGTGGGGCTAGGACACTAGAAGCCCTACTACTGTTGCCCCCCCCAAGCACCAAGAATACAGAGCATCACTTGCCCCAGACAGAGAGTTCCTATCTATACCTTGTGGCTATAGCCACTGATGGACCTCTGCTCCATATCTATATATCTAATTTCGAAGATGCCCCCTGGTGTGCGGATATCTAAATCTGCACATCGGGGGCACCTGGGGGCGGGGAGATTTTGGTGCACATTTGGGGCGATTCCCCAGGTGTGCACAAAAATCTCAAAAGTTGGAAAAAATATTGGGGGGGTACTTGAATCCCCCCCAAACTAACAGAGCGTCTCCTGCACATGCGCAGGGAATGCTCTGTGAACTGCCTCGCCGCCGCCGCCACAGGGGACGGGAGCACAGCAGAAGGCTTGGCTGGCTGGCTGGCTGGTGGGCGGGGGCCGGCGAGGGG